GGTGTAAGCGGTTGGTGCCTGGGCATGGGCGCAAGTCGCCAAACTATGGTCTTGCACACACTGGGCTGCGCACTGCGCAAGGAATGGGCTTGACAAATGGTTGAATGTGAATGTCAACGTTCAGTTGTGGGGATGTGCAAACTGGAATGCGCCGCCGAACATCTCATCCAAGGTGTTGCGCTGTGTAACGCTGTGCGCTGGCCGCGCCGCCACCCATCGTGCCGGAAGCGCTCCTATCTGGGCGCATCGCCCCATCCATCCCTACCCAGACGGCGTCCTATGCAAGCAACCAATTGCCAAACTCGTCGACTGACTCATAGATGACGAGGCGCCTTCTCCCCTCCACCCGGACACAAACACATAAACACACACGCACACACACTCCCTCCCCACAACCCTAGGGCACCGCAGCCAAACCAGGTACCATTGTCAGCGCGCCACAGCTCCCCCCCCTGCACCACCACCCACCGGGCTTGAGCTCCCCATTCTGCATCTTCTGCACCAGCAGGGTCGCCTCCGGGCGCCGCAGCAGGCCGCGCACGTTCTTCAGCCCCGTGCCTGGGAGGCGGCACGCCAGGCGGGGGGAGGGGGAAAGGGCGGGCGTCAGCAGGGCGCGGCTGCACCGTAGCAATTGGCAGCCAGCAAGGCTCAACAGCCCTGCGGCAAAGTGCGAGGCCCCGTGGCACGCAGCCTAGCCGGGCAGGGCAGCAGTCCCGCCATGCTGCTGCCACAGCGCGTGCGTGCACAGATGCTGTGTGCGACTCTGTGCCCTCCCGCTATTTCCGCTGCCCAACACCCACCGAAGCAGCGGCCGCACACGCGCGCCCCGCGGCCGTAGCACTGGGGGCACTCCACGAACTCGTAGTTGTCCTTGGCTCGCTTGCGGCTGAGGGCGCGCCACTTGCCGGTGCCGCCGCACATGTCGCCTGCACACGGGGCGGGCGTTGGGGGCGCGAGGAAGGGGGTTGGCGGTGGGGACGCGTCGGCGCGTTGGGTTGTGAGGCAGCGCGCTTGTTTTGAGAAGAAGGTCCAGCTTACTGCATGCAGCCGGGCGGCGGATGCTAAGCAATAGTGAAGCACACAGAGTGAGGAACGAAACGCCCGGCCAGATCAGCCGGCCACTGCTGCTGGGGCTGCTTGCCCCGGTTCCGGCATGACACGAAGGCACACTGGCTGACAATGCGCCAGCCCGTTGCCTGCCAGCCGGGACAGTCTCAGCAAGGTGGCTGGGGGGCTGGTCAAGGGGGCTCCAACCCCCTCAAAAAGCGTGCCCAGGGCTCACAATTGATGATGCCGATGCCAGCACACTCCCTGCACGAGTCCTCGGGGTCTGGCATCTCGCCGGCCGCGCGCGCGGGCCCCGCGGCCACCGCCAGCGCGGCAGCGACCGGCGCGATGAGGACCACGGAGCGGCGCGTCACGTCGATGACGCCGCAAGAATGCGCGCGGCGCGAGGACTGCTGCTCCTGCTGCTGCTGCTCGTCATGCTGCTGCTGCTGCTGCTGCTGCTGCTGCTGCTGCTGCTGCTGCTGCGAGTCGACAGCGCCGCTGCTGCCGGCTGCGCCTGCGAATGGGCGACGGCGGGGCGCCATGTGGCGTTTCTGCTGCCGGCGTGCCAGCGGGCGCAGCGCGATTTCGGAGACAGCCGGCGAACGCCTTGCCAGCAGCCGTCAGGTGCCCGGCAGACAGAGACGAAATTCACTCACCTGCTGCCCGGCATGCTAGGGGCTGCCTGGAGCTGCAAGAACAGCGGGCAGCCTGCGGGGAGAGGAACGGGGGAGCCACACATTAGCACTTGCCAACCACGACGTGCACTCGTGTCAATGCATACCAGCACCACTCACCCCGAACTTGTGATTCAGCTTGCTGCTCAGCATCCTGTCGTGCTCCCTAGATGGCCAAAGATCTGAGCTTCTCGGCGATGGCCGCACTCGGCAGGTGCTTTCGAGCAATGGGCATGCACCACAAAGTCGCAAGTCACGTCTCAGAGGCAGCACCCACACAGATGTCGTATACCGGTACCGCACGCAATGAGTAACGAGGTGACTGTTGCTTCTTGTACTGTTTCACGAAAATTTCAGGTAAGATGCCATGCTCACAAGCAGATCATGTTCAATATGTTGTGGACGAAGGGATTGTGAGCGCCGATCTTGACCGCGGGCGGTGTCGTGTCAATACTGCGTGGCCATAAGACGCTTTAGATGTATAGATAGATACCACTCGCGAGATGGAGCTGGATTCGCCGCCGGTACTGGCTGATCGGCCGAGCGCGCTGCTCAAGGTCTGTCCGCCGCTGCTGGTGCTTGCGTTGTTGCATCGAGCCGCTTCCGCCCGCTCCAGCATGGGCGGATCCACGGGAACAGGTGGTTCCCACCAGAAGGAAAATTAGTGGTGCAGCAGATTAGGCTTATTTGAAGCTGAGTGCAGTGTCTGCATGCTTCGCTTGTTATCCCGTGTGCGCCGCAGGGCATTGTTGCGGACGCCCCCCCGCCCACCCGCGGCATCAACCTCATCACCCACAACCGTGAGGGGGCCAGGCGACACTGGCCGGCGAGCAATGCCAGTGACTCAGCAAAAGTATCCTCACAAGAGGCTGGATGATCCATGCTCTGTCACTATGCCCGCTGCTGCACACAGCCTCTGTTGCGACACCGCGGCCCCTCGCCCCCACTCGCATGCACATGCACCGCCAGCACACCGCTCCTCCCTGGCACGTCCTACCCAGGGGCATTCGACAATGTGGGCGATGCGGCCGGCATCGCCGCGTCGCCCGCTGTGGTGCACTTTGGCGGCTTCCAGCCGGGCGCAGTCCACCGCCAGACCGTGCGGCTGGTCAACACGTCGCCCGACGCGGCCCTGCGGGCGCACGTGATGCCGCCCGAGTCCCCATACTTCAAGGTTTGGGCGCCTGCGGGCCACCTAGGCAGCGTTGTTGGCGCATTGCCGTGGATCGATGAGTCTGGCTCAGCGTGCTTCGCAGCGTGGCCGTTAATCGTGTGCGAACGAGGGTGCCGTCCACACAATGCGCACGCAGGTGACGCACCGCCGTTGCCCCGGGGCGACGCTGCCGGGGCTGTCTGACAGCCTGGTGGTCGAGTTCTGCCCGGACCAGCTGCGGTACTATTATGACGCCATACGCGTCCACTCCAGCGTGAGCGGCGCGGCTGGCAATGCCGGCCTGCAAGGGCCGCACGCCCCGCAGCGGGCGGCCCTGCAGAAGGCGGGCTAGCGGTGCGAGCGCCTGGCACGCTCAGGCAGCAGCGAGCGCTCTGCGGGGTCAGCCGGCGGGCTTCTGACGCAGTGGCTGGAATGGTCCCCTTGGTGTACGTGCATGCATGCCCACTTGGGGCAGCTGCAGCCGTCAACGAAGGCTGGGATGGAACGGGTGTGATGACAAGTGCGGTCTGCTGACGGACCCCCGCGTGCGCATGCAGGGCGGCAACCTGCTCATCCCGCTGCACGGCTACCCGGCGGCCAACGCGCCCTCGATCCCCCGCCGCGTCGACTTTGGCCGCGTCCCCATCGGCGAGCGCGCGGCGCGGCGGCTGCCGCTGCGATGCAGGATCCCGATGGACTTTGAGTTCACTGTGCGGGTGACTAAGCGGAGCGACGCGTTCAGCGTGGCGCCTGCGGCGGGCGTCGTGCCGGCGGGCGGGGCGGCGGAGGTGGAGGTGGTGTTCCATCCGGTGCGCCATCAAACAGAGGAGATGCTGTTCGAGGTGGGCGCGAGTCTTGAGGGATTGGGCATTGCAGTGCCGTCGTCGAAAGAGGTAGAGGCTGCAGAAGCACGCAAGACGAGCTGTTCGTCACCAAGTTGTTGCAGGGCAGGTCAGCAGCGCCTCGTCGTCAGTCGTGAGTCGGTGCCGGGGCGTGCACCTGCGGTGCGCCTGCGTTGTCGCCGCGCGCCTGGCTGATGCTGCTGCGTCGTGTGCCCATGGCAGGTGACAGTGGCCGAGTTTGGCGCGCAGCCCATGGTGTGCACCGTCGTCGGCAGCGCATTCCCTGGCCTGGCGCGAGACCGGGAGCTGGGGCTGCTGGAATCTTCCGGTGGTGTGGCAGCGCGCACTGCCACTGCAGCAGGGGAAGGAGCCGAGGAGGCGAGAGCCGTGGCGAGTGGCGGCGCACAAGACAGCAGCGGCGGCGAGGAGGGCGACTGCTTCCCCAGCGGGGCGGCAGAGGGCGATGCCAAGCTCGCAGGCAGCAGCGTCAGTAAGGGTTCAGGGCATAAGTCTGGCAGTGGCAGCGGTGGCGGCGGCGGTGGGGCCAGGGGGGATGCCTTCTCCCGCCGCCACAGCCCACCCCGCGGCCGCCGGCGCGAGGGCTCCGAGCCGGGCTCACTCCTGCGGCTCGCCCGGGGAGGCGCCCTGCTGGCGTCGCTCGGCGGCGCGGGTGATGCCGACGCGGCGGAGCTACGGCAGGGGGACGTGTTTGTGCCGCAGCACCTGCGTGGTCACGGTGACGTCAGCTATGTGCTCAACCAGGCGCCCGGGAAGCTGCGCACCAAAGACGTCAAGGTGGGGTGCAGGCGCTCGCAGTTGGTCCCCCCCTGCACGCGGTTGAAGAACTGATTGAATCAGACCCGTGTGCATGCAATGCCACAAGCACGATCCAAGGGTACGCCTTGCGCTCAGCCGCAGCCGCGCTGCAAACGCCATGTGACACAGCACCCATCGGCCCCGCACCCACAACTGCACCGGCCGGGGCGCGGCGCACCAGGCCGCCATCTCCATGCGCCGCGCTGAGCTGGCTGAGGAGCAGAGGGCGCTGGCGGCGCTTGCGGCCGCGGGCGGTGCGGCGGGCGTGGACGCGCTGGACCGGCCAGGGCTCGCACCAGCGCTCAAAGTGGGCTTCGCGCAGATGCGAACTGGGCAGGGCCCCTCAGGCGATGGCTTAGCCAGCAGCATGATGGTGGCGCTCTGCAGCGGCGATGAGGGCGTGCATGCTGCCGTGCGCTGGCCGCAGGACAGGTCGACCGCCCAGCAGCATTGGCATAGCAAGCGTGCGGCTTCGTTGCACCACGGCCCAGTCGCATCGCACCATGCCGAGCTTTCATCATACCTTTGCCCTTGTATGTTTGTGGCTGCGTGTGCCTTGAGTGCAGGAGGCGCTGTTCCAGCTGCAGCTGCGCAGAGCAGAGGAGGCCTCCAAGCGCTGCACAGGCCTGGTGGGGGCCGGCGGCGACGTCGTAGGCGGCGACGTCGTAGGCGGCGACGCCCCCAGCCCCCGCGCGATCGCCGCCGCGCGCGAGGCGCGGGCGGCTGCGGCGGCGGCGCACCAACGGGAAGTGGAGGAGGCGGCCACGCACAGGCTGGAGTGTGAGATGTCTGAGACAGGGGCGTTGCACGTGCTGCCGCATCATCTTTCCAGCAGCAGGGAGGGCGGCAGCACACGGGATGGCGAGGAGCAGCAGCAGCAGCACGACCAGGAGAGCCCCAGGCCGGGCTCCGAGGCCGGTGCAGGGCCACCGCACTCGGCAGCGGGCGGCGGTTACGCCGGCCTGGAGGGATTTGCGCCACAGTGGGTGCAGCTGGAGTCAAACCACTGGCGGAAACGAGTTCAGGTGAGCTGGCAGCGATTGATGTGTAGGGTTGGCACAACATTCTGCAACGCGGAGCATGATTGTAAGGCAAGAGCTGCGTTTTTCACAGTGCTGCGCATGCACCAGCCATCCAAGTAAGCCCAGCTGCAACGCGTGATGCAAACCCAGCGAGCCCATCATCATTAACCATCTTGGTCAATGATGATCTTGACTAATGTTGCCTGACCCGCCGCGTGAAACCTTGCGGACCTGCCCCAGGTGATGCAGCGTTTCATCAGCGCCGCGCGAGTGGTGATATACCGGCTGAGGGCGCAGAAGCGGCTGCAGCAGATCAAGGCCATCTCGTGTGAGGAGGATGGTTGCACTGCTGGGGGGTACTGGTCGTGCGTGTGGGGCTGTGCGTGTGCTGGGCTTGCAGCTTGTTTCTTAATCTGGAGTGCTCCTCTGCGCCTAACCTTCAAGGAAGTCCGCCCGAGTTATCACAGCAGCAGCAGAACCAGGTGCAAATTTTCAACGTAGCATGCGCTGTGTTTGGGCCAGCGGCCCAGGATCTAGAGTATACCGGCGCCCCCTCAACTCGCCCACAGCCCGCCTGGCAGGCGACGGCGACGGCATCGCAGGCGCGGCCGCCCAGGCCCTGTTGCTGCAGTCCTCCAAGGTCGACCGCCCCGGCGTCGACCCCGCACTCCTCGCCAAGCCGGCTCTCATCGCCGCTGACGCGCTGCCACCCTTTGGGGAGGACCGTTTTGAGAGCGTTGCCGACGCCCTGGCTGCTGCCGGCGCCGGGGCGGGTGGGCCGGCCGGCTGCGGGGTTGTTGAGGGGCTGCTGGGCGTGGGGCCTGACCCGGGGTATGCCGACTGGGACCAGCTGGAGCCGGAGCCGTACGCGGTGAGCGCGCTGACATGGACGCGCTGGCAGCCACCTCTGGCAGCAGGCGGGCGGCCTTGCATGTGCAATTCACGTTTCAGATAGAATTGGTATGCATCCATGGCATAGCGGTCGCACGGCGCAAGCGCGCACCGAGGGCAATGCGTCGTGGTCATACTGGTCAAACAGGTCAAGCATTGGCAGATTCGCAAAGCGTGTCTTGTAGTTGTCGCAGCGTGCTGCTGGGCCATTCTCTGCGCGTGTGCCACACCCAAAAGTGCAATCGGCCGTGCCGCTTGACTCCACATCCCCCAGGCTGAGTACGAGTACCGGCTGCTGGGGTACAGCCCCGAGGACATGCCAGGCCTCGTGCCTTACATGCCGCCCCTGGCCGACCAGCCGCTGCTTTCAGGCGCCTCAGAGGACAGCATAGCGCCGCGCCCGGTGGGGGCGCCGCCGGACGCCGCGCTGGCCGCGGCGCTTGGGCAAGGCGCGCCAGACGCGCTGCGGCAGATGCCGCTGGCCTGCTACGAGATTGGCGCCAGGTGCGGATGCATTGGCGGTGCCTGCCACTCATGCTGAGGCAGGCTTCACCCAGCATTATCTGGAACAATGCCCAAAGTTTCTTGCCACTGCTTCAGCAACACGGTCAGTCAGTGCTGAAAGCTGCTTGACGCCGCAGCACCGCCACCACACACTTAGACGCCCTGGGCCACCCGCAGGTATGCGGGCGGCGACGCGTATGCGCAGCCGCAGCCCGTTTGGGGCATCGACATGGACCATCTGGTGCAGCCCGCGCTGCTGCCGCGCCATGAATCTTGGCGCTCCGAGGCGGCCGGGTCGTGCAGCGTCCGGGCGCTGGCAGGCGCGGCGGTGCTCGCGCAGCGGTGGCAGCCTGCAAATTTGCCATGGGAGGTAGGCTCGCGCATGGGGGGCGCTCAGGCCGGACGGGTGGCGCGCTGTGCGACCGAGTGCGTTAGTGGCGGTGGTGTGATGGAAGGAGCACAACGCTGCTTGCGGCATGCTGGGAGAGGACAGGCAGCGGATTGCAACACAGTATGCTGGGTTGCTGCATCTTAAGCAAGCGGGGTAGGTGGTCGTCCACGGTCGGCCAACCCTCACACCCACGTCCCCACCCACCCCCCCTCAGGCGGACCCGTCGCCGTTCCCCGCTCCCCTGGGCCGCGCCGACCCCTCAGAGCTGTTGGTTGACCGAGCAGAGGACGCGGACAAGCCGCGCCCCGTGCCGGCGCTGCCGACCGACAGGGCGCTAGCCGCGTTCCTGCCGGCCGCGGCGCAGGAGCCGCTGGAGCAGGCGGCTGTCCTGCAATTGTCGGAGATGCAGGGAACGACGGAGCTGCAGCAGCAGGGGCGGCCGGGGGC